TTCCAGGGCTACCTGCACAGCGTATCTGTCTGTGAGGGACTGAGAAACGCATATTTGCCAGGGACCTTGGCCTTTTTGTTTCTGGAGGATATCACAGGAATGGAGAGCTTCGGGGAACCGCCGCAGCCTCTCTGAACAGCCTTCAGCGCTATGGCCTCACCGCTCTCCTCCTCCGGCTCTCCATCCCGCTCCAAACCCAGGCTCCTCTCAACAACCTGTTGTCTTCTCCCATGACTGGGAGGCTGGCAGAGCTCCTTGCACCAGGGCATCTCCACACCAGCGAGCTCTGCTCACCGGCCACACCGCTGTGCTCAGAGCTGCCCTTTGGGCTTAGGCTTTGCTGTGTTTCACAGTGCTCATCATGTTTTCCCAAATTATATTTCTCTTCTGGCAGAGGGTTCTAGGTATTTCCTAATGTGTGAGGCCTGTGAGACTTTCCCAAGTCTTAATTATAGTTCTCTGCACATGTGTAATGGAGGAGATTTGTTTAACATATAGGAAAAGCCAGGCTGTCACAGTACCTGTGCCTGTTCAGAGCACAGAACCAGAGGGCCAGTAGTCCCCTTCCTGTTTGTGTCAGCAGGATGGCATGGCTGTGATTTACATGGCAAAAAGAGGCACAAAACTGGATCAGCTTCAGCCAAGCTGGCTCAGGGATGTGGAATTGAAAACTGCACATAACAAGCAATTCCCTGGTTCCTGGCATACCTTCAGTTGCCTGGAGTCTGAGCATCTTGAAGTAGGTGTCAGGACTCAGGGAAGCAGGACAGACAACAGGGTGCAGGTCAGGCCCAATTCCCCTGTCCTCACCCTGCTCTGCTTTTCAGATGTGTTACTCCCTTGACAGAAGGAGGGCTACGTGTGCTCGGTGCTGCTAGGGTTCCTGCCTGGATTCTCCATGTGGAATGTGACAGACAGCAGAGCAAAATTCAGGCTGTTCTCTGGGCAATATGTATCTTTAGGACCCAGATTCTCTCATTCCCTCTGCTTCACAGACAGTTTTCTGCCTAGAAACACAGCTCCAACTGAGAAAAGGCCTAAAAAAGATGTTTACAGATTAAGTAACAGATGAAAATCAGAATTCCAAAATGGCTACACATCCTTGTCCACTTTAGAATTCCTCAAGAGCACAGGGACAGAGGCACCCAAGTGCTCTGGCTGGCAGGCACGGCTCACAGTCAGGACAGCTGCACTTTGTCTTTAGGTTCAGCTGTAAATCACTGTGAGCATCACCGTGAAGAAGGGTGACTTCGTTACAGCTGCTGTTCAAACTACCCAGCTTCCTTCAGGGGGAAGCACTGGATTGATGCCTGGTTTGGAACCCTGGAATCATTCAGCTCCATGAAAATGTGTTTTATTTTCTCTCTTCTGTACTATCTTACCATGGGGGGAATCTGTTCCCATTGTATACGCATCAACAGCATCGCATGAACGTTACAGACATAATACGAGCAAATGCTGACTCCTCTTCAGACCCCAGCTGTAGTGTGGGGTAGTGGAGAGTTGGACTCTCACTCCTTTAAAAGTCTAGTAAGATTAGACTGTACAAACCTGATGCTCTTTCCCGTGTTATTGCTGCCATCTGTGATTACTGAAACTATCAAAGCTTCAAAGTAATCACACTTTACATTATTTCTGTCACTTTTATACATTTTTAAGATAAGTCTGAGCATGAAATGAAGCTGGTATGCTTTGGGTTTGAGATGCAAGGCAATGCTGTTGTCTGTCCCTCCACAGCGACAGGAGTATTTCAACTTTCAAAACCCAGGGTTCGATATTTGTGCCTGTTCCGTTCACAACGTACTCGCTGTTTTATCTGGGCTTTTTACTGGAACTCAGCATTGAAACTAAGCTATTTATCATCATTCTCTTTTAGAATGACTGTTCCCACTCTACCCACAGACTCATTTTTCCTTACCATTTATTACTGAGGTCATTCCTCTCACCTGACAGCCAAGTGCTTGAGCAACATTGGTCCCCTACTTGCAAACACACCTACCCACACATTTCTGAACAAAAAGCCTGTGTGTCAAGTAACACTTCATTTATATTGCAATATTTTAACCTGGTACCTGTTGTTGCTACAGCACCACTCGGTGTTTCGGTGGGCTGCCTTTGATGCAAGTAGGTTACTATGGGTTGTGCGTGAATCCAAAGTATGGTTTGTGTGCGTGTGGGTGAGTGTTTTGTGGGTGAGAATTTTGGGGTGTTTGCATGTGCGAGTTTCTCTTACCGATGTGTGTATGTGAGTTTTTATAACTCGCCTTGAGTCTTGCCCCTGGAAGTTGACAGTTATATATCAAGCCAGTTAGAACACTGCTTTCTTTCCTCTCCTTCTATAGTACTTGTTACCCTTTAAGAGTTTTGTTGTAATATCTAAATGTGAAAATGAATAAAGTCATAACTTGCACTGGCTCTCTTGTGTCTGGAGGCAGACACTGTCCTGCACCAAGGCAGTCCGTCTCCAACCCACTTCCAGGGCCAATTTCAAGCAATTAGCATGTTTGGGTTTTATTACATTTATTTTTGTGCCCCAAATCCTCCAGGAAACAGCTGGGCTTTGGGGCATTTCCATCCAGGATGAAGCTCAACCCGTTCTCATGGTGGCGACGATACCGTGGGCTCAGCTCGCTGACAGGAGCCGTCGGCCCCATGTCCAGGCCCATGGTCCTGCAGCCTCCGGGCTGCTCCTCTCCCTCCCTGGGGACTCCGGGACCGCTTTCTGGCCACCCAAAGGCCATGGGGATGACTCCTCACACCACTGTCACCTCTTCCCCGTGTCCCTTTACCCTTCACCCTTTCCCTGTGCCCCTCTCTCCTTCCATCCCCCCAAAGGGCTCCCTGCCCCCCACCCCCCATTGCCCCTCTCACCCTCCGACCCCTCAAACGTCTCCCCTCGCCCCTCTCACCCTGCGTCCCCCCCCAAGGAGCCCCCCGGGCAGTTCGGGGCCGCCCCGTCCCCTCCCTCTCCGCCGTCCCCCCTAGGTGGCGCCCTCGGCGCGGCCACCGCGCGCGGGAAGATGGCGGCGGGGCCGAGGGCGGGCGGGGGCGAAGGGGACGGTGGAAGCGGTGAACGCTGCGGGGGCGCTGAGGGAAACGTGCTGCCCCAGGCCGCAGGGAGCGCGGGCCGCGAGATGGGAGTAGATAGACGGGCATTTTACAGAAAAAGAAAATAGGAAAAAGGAGCCAGGTGACCGTTTTGTGGGGACCCGTTGAAGCCCCAGTGCTCTGCATGGGCTGCACCAGCACAGTGGCACTGTCGCTTCCACGGGGGCCTCCGGGAACGTCCCGGCCCTGGCACAGCCGAGGAGGCTGGTGAAGGGCAGGAGCGGGGGCTCCTACGGGAGCAGAGCCACGGGGTGAGGCAGCGGAGCCAGCCCTGCCGAGCCGGCCTCGCTCGTCCTGCCTCGGCGCGCGCAGGGACGCACCCGGCCCTTCCTGCACATCGGTCCGCTCCGGCCCGTGACCGGGCATGGAGACAGCGCCCAACACGGGTCCTTGCAATCAGACTCGGGTCTGCACCGTGGGAGCGGCAGCTCCGAAACGCAGCCTGTGCAGGGCAGCGTCAGGCTCTTTGCCTTGATCGTGCCCTCCAGGTGTCCCCAAGTGGATGGTGAAAGGTTTGGTGACATGCTGAGGAGCTGTGAGTGACACGGGGCTCCTAACCCAGTATTTGCCAAGAAAAGAAAAAGAAAGAAAAAAAAGGAAAAAAAAAATGGAGACATAACATTCAGATCCTGCTTCACAGGCATTTCTTGGATCATACAAGCTTTTTCTACAGAGTGTTTCATCAACAGCATCTCGGAGGATTTTACACTGCCACAAATTGCTTTGCATTAGCAAGGCCCTGTGGGCCAATTCTGCTCGCAGATAAAGGTTTGCAAAGTACACGGGTTTGCGTTCCTTGGAAATTACATGGATACCTCCAAGGGCAGGATTAGACCTGCTACTTGCAGGTAAATGAGATAAACCAAATGTGCTTTTACACCGTTATCTCGCACGCATATGTGACCAGGTGCATCAAAAGCAGATAAGCTACAAAGCCTCCCAAAAGAGGACAGTTTAGTAAGAGGCAGAGGTTAAACACCATGCTTATCACAGGGCCTTCCTCAACAGCTGCTGAATTCACCAGGGAGACCGTATCGCAGAGGAACAACGGCACCGCGATTTGTTTCTGAATTTAGAAAGCATCCTAGAACACAGCCATGAAGGACTTGCTCTCTTTGCCATGAATAAATTTGCAGGTGGCTTTCCTTCAAGCTTGGGGGAGGCCTTTACATTGTTTCATTGCTGCTGTGGTCATGAAGAGGACGAAAAATCTTAAATTGTGGCGTTGGTTAAAGAGACAGCAATTTGATGTCATGGGATGAGTATTTATTCAGAGCAGTTGAGTGTGGTGTTGATAGTCCTGCTTCACTGCTGCAAAAATATTAACTCCAAAACAGGCAGCAGGGCTCGGATCTCAGCGTGGCAGCTGGGCTGCTCCCAGAACCCCCATGGCACAGCTGGGGTGCACACAGGTCACCTCTTTTTCGGGCATTCTGCACTTTTCCCCCATTTCCCCCGCGCTTCCTCACACCTTCGCGCCTCCACCCACGCACTGTCATGGCGGCCCGCCTCAGCCCTCGCCCCGCCCACCATTACGTCATCGCAGGCAAGCCCCGCCCCTGGTAGCCCCGCCCTTCCGCGGGCGCCGCCTCTCGCCCTCGTGGCGCGGGGCGGGGCGCGTGCGCGGGGCGGGGGCGCGGGCGGCGGGAGCGGAGCATGAGGCGGCGGCGCGGGGCGCTGCGCAGCGGAGCGCGCTGCCCGCCGCACTGAGGCCGCGCGGGGCGAGGCGGAGCGGAGCGGAGCGAGCTCTCGGGGCGGCCGCGCCGCCATGAGCGCGGCGGCCTGAGCGGCGCGGAGCGGCCTGGCCCCTCCCATGGCATGAGCCGCCGCTCGCCGCCTCCCGCCGCCCGCGCTGCGGGGCTCTCGGCTGGGCGCAGCCGGCGGCGCGCGGCGCTGAAGATGAGCCCGGCGCGGCGGGGCGGGCGCCGCTGGGGCCGCCGCTCCTCCGCGCTGCTCCTGGCGCTCTGGCACTGCTGGCTGTGGCCGGCGGGCGCCGACAACGCGAGCCAGGCGTATTACACGGCGCTCGTGAACGTGACCGTGCTGCACCCCGAGCGGCCCGCGCCCACGCTGCTGCGCCTCGACCGCGGCCGCTACGGGCAGGACTCGCCCAAGGTGGAGGTCAAGGGGCTGCTGCTGGCGCCCGTGCCCATTAACGGAGGTAACGGCGGCGCCGCGGCGGGGGGCGGGTTGACGTGGTGCCCCTGCAGCCCTGGGGACCCCCGCGGGGAGCTGCGGGCGGGGGCTGACATGCCCGTGGGCCCCGTGCTCGCCGGGCTCCCCCGGGCACGGAGGGGTCGTTCCCGACCTGCCTGGGCTGCAGGTGCCTTGGTCGCCCAGAGCCCGAGTGTCAGAGCAGCCCTCCCGTCGCCGGGAGGTGGCCTGGAGCTCTTGCTGCTGCCTAAACCTGTGGTTTTTGGTGCGCATTTCCTAAAAATGCGCCCTTTTTCTGCACTTTCCATCAGCACTCGGAGCAATGGAAGCTCTCGGGCGGCTGCTTTCGTGTGTCCGTCGCAAAGCACGCCCAGCTCCGAGATGCTAAACACCATGTAGCTTCCAAACGGGCGCTTCATTTTTACCACAGCAAAGCTGTTGTCCAACGATCTCTTCCTGATAAACGCCTGCCTTGGGTTTTACAGACAGCACTAATTCAGAGCAAGTGAGAATGTCATCCTCATTCTTCCTTTTCTAAAATGAAACCAGATGCTTCAGTCATAGTGATGTGGCTCCAGTCACCTCTTCCTTGTTTTGGAAACCTTCCTCAGATCGTCTAAAGCGCTGTCCTTAACAAATGGATCACCTGATGGAGCATAGTGGTCCCTGCCTCTGTTCTGGGCAATAAACCTCTGAAGAGAGCATTAAGTGAAATAATGCGCTCTGTTAAACCTAGACTCTTAAGTGGTGCGAGTACTTAAGAGTTTTTAAAGGACTTAACACAACTACTGTATTATTAAAAGCTTTTGAGGATTTACCAAATCCTATAGACCAGGAAAATACTTTATTGCTTTTTCAGAACAAAACAGATCCTGCCAGGGAGTCTGCTCTGAGCTTTTAGTAAATAAGAGGCAGACTGTGGCTCAGCACATGCTTGTGGATACCATTGAAGCTCCCTTCCATTGGCTTTAGGAATTGTTAATTAGGACATGTTAAAACAGCATGTTTTATTGAGGAGGGAAAAAATCTTTCAGCAAGACAACTATAAAGCTTATACATCATATCCTATGCTTAACCATTCTGTTTTTCAGAAGTTCAGCTATTGACAGATACACTCAATCTATCATTTTTTACCCTGCTTTCTGGTGCTCTCCAGCTTATCTGACTTAACACCCTAAAACCTTATATGAAATCAAGAGGACATCCTAAAAGTGAGACATACAACCAGCATTGTTTCAATAAGTGACATTTCTGAAGGCTTTTGGAACTGCTGCCTTTTAATATATGAAATATATCACTTGACTCCTTTAGTCAAGAAGATTTATTTATCAAGAAGAAGATTTGGAATTAGTTACTTTTTAATCTGCTTTTATAACTTTTTCTGATCTCTCCCACTGTGGTCCTCACTGAAGAGTAATTAAAACACAGAGAGACTGAGAGGATTTCCCTGGAAGCTGAACATTAGCTATCAGCAATCCATAGACAGGACCTTAATGCATTACTGCCAAAATGTAATGTGTTGAATAATTACAGTGAGAAAGACCAGTTAAAAATCATGACATTGCAGGTCTCTGGATTATTGTAGTTTTGGTATGCAGTCATCTTGCAAACTTTGCCATCAGTTGTTGAGGTTGTTCAGTTTGTCATCAGAAGACTGTTAAAACAAACACTGCAGCATCTTCCTTTAAAATTCTTCTGAATTCTTCTATGTATGTTGTGATACAGTGTTTGTTTTGTTTTCATTTTTGCCAAAATGCTTCATGAGGTTCAAAAATTTCATGTGGTAGGAAAGATGGGAATATTCTGTGCTTTTATTTAAGGTGTCCTTTTCCACTTAGCAATCTTATGTTTGTATTCTGCTTTTTCATTCCTGGGCTGCACAAGGAACTGTGCGTTCTTGCTGTTGGTCACTGGTGCCTTTTTATCAGCTTGGTCATCCTGCTATAGGGCTGGTTTAGAAGGTGCATGGGTTTTGAAAGCTCTTCAACTCCAGTAGCAAGCAGAAACTTAGCTGTTAGATCAGTAAATGGTGTGTCTGTTCCCATGCTGTAATATATGCTAAAAAGAAAAGACCTCTGTATCTCTTGGCACTTATCTTGGTAGATATTTTAGTGCTGAAGCTGTTTTGTTGTCAGATATTCATGTGTGGATGGGGCATTCCTTGGAATTTCTGGGGAATATTGGTGAGCGGTCAGCTGAGCAGTCTGGAGCATCCTTGCACTAAAATGTCCTTAGTGACACACTCTGTCATGCTGCTCTAAGATCCCTTACTCAGGGGATCAAATGCCTTAAATATTTAAGGGCTCAGGGTCAATTTGCTGTTGAACCCAGAGCATTTACAATAGCGTAAGTTGTGATGAGCTTCATAGGGTTGTCCGTCTGCTTGCTTGAATGTCTAGTATTTTCCATACAAGTTGCTAGAGTCCCATGTAATAGGCCATCCAATAAACTATTGGATATAAATAAACAAACTAATGAATAGTTTAATGGATAAACTAAATATCTTTCCTGTTTATTTAGCAGAATTCTTTTACGTAATTTCGGGCTCGTTGTCATCTAATACAGTTTTTAGAAGCGCTATTTCCATGTTCTTTTTATAGAACCCGGTATGAAATTGATACAAGGCTTCAAAAGCTATGTTCTTCTGGAAGTGACACGGTAGTAGTTCACATGACCATGTGTGAACATTAGTTATGAAAATGTAGCTTGAGTGATCTGTCGTTTGGCCCCGGATGTATTTATAAAGCATCTGCCTACACATATCTCTTCCAAGTGCATTAAATATACAGCAGCTGCAGTTCCCCTGATCTCTTCCCTTCTTCTGTTTCTAGGTCCTTATTTCCTCTAGCTTTTAGTATTTTTTCATGAGTTCAAAATAATTTCGTGCTAGAATGCAATTTTAAGCTGCTTCTAGGTATGGATGCTTACGGATGCTGTGCGATACTCCTTTTTAATACAAGTTTTCTGGTAGCATAGTTCAGGTTTATATAATCTCTTAATAACGTTATCCAGCATTTCTCCTTTCAACCTCCATTTGGTTGTTTTATGACTTTGTGAAGCCTGCAGTTTCAGTCAGAGAGTTTCACTCTGGCTCCGTGCATATTTGTGAAAGTGCATGTACAGGTACAGTGTAAATCTTCTACACTAGTGACCTCTGCTTTTAATAAACTTTAATATCTTCAGCATTTGGAGATAGGTCCAGACTGAAGCCATAGCCCTGACTTTATTTGTCAGAGATATTCTTGTTAGCACAAGCCAAGCTACAAGTCACTGAAAAATCACTTTAACGAACCTTGATGGAAACTGCACAGAGCTTTGAGGATTAGTTTCCTCAAAAATGTTCCTGGCAGTGAACAGGACTCGGCAGTAGCTGTTGATTATGGGTTATTTCAGATCATTCTGTGTTCGGTGCAAATTTGAGCTCGAGGAAACTCGATCCAGCTTGTTCTTAATGATTCCTTTAGAGATGGTGCAGGAAACAAGCTGGATTGGGTAGCAGGGGAGTAGACAGGATGGCTGGGGCTGGAGGCGGGACTGAGAGGAAGGGAAATAACAGCAGCCTTGGATCCAAATGTGAGAGCATTAAGACTCACTGAGCTGATAGATTAGGAGCGAGCGGGTAGGCAGGGACGGGAGCAGACTGGACTGTGAAGGTGACAGTTGTGGGGAAGCGGAGTTGGATAAAGAACAGGCAGAAAGGGGAAAACTGAGCTAAAGGAGATAGTGGGGCTGTGGGGACAAGGAGACAGAATTTTGGAGAGGAAAATAAATGAACAAAAAAGTGGAAGTGGGGAAGAAGCAGTACTGGCACAACACTGGGAATGGAAGCAGACACTGTGCACAGTAGTGTAACTGGAGCACCTTCTAGCACCTGACAGTTTAAAAACATATTATGTGAACAAATTATAGCTTTGGAAGGTTTAAGATGACAGTTTTCTGGTAACTGCAAAGCTTTTGTTAATATCTTGACAGTTCTGTGTTTGTGTCTGGCCTGGAATCTGCAGCAGCAAGCTTTAAGAAAATGCAACAAGCAAATGCACTAAAAAATGGAGAGCAATGGCAGGAAAACCTTGTGCCATGTGTATCTTCTTTACCGTTGCCTCAGTATCCAGCTTAAACTGTAGTCCTTAAGTGGTGCTTAAAGTATATGGGAGTTTCTAGGGGTAATTGAAGTGTACTTGCTGGGCTACAAGGATTAAATCATAACCATTACAGGATTCTTAGGAGCTACATCGATTTCTTTTCTTGTCCCCTGGAATAAGATTATTTCTTGTTCAAAGGGTTTCTCTTAGTGTTAGAGCGAACTTTAGTGAGAGAGCTAGATACCTAAAATAGTTGCTGAAATTAAAATGTTGTCTTATGTAACTCATAGCCACAGCTTTTAAAAAGCAGAAATTATAAACGGCTTGAATAAAGACTGTGTTACTAATAGAAATATTGTAGTGAAAGAAAACATTAATCCTGATTGGATAGCACATATCACTAATAGGAAAAGCATCAGTGCTGCTGTGTTATTTGTATAAATAGCCCAGTTAAATTCATCTTCTAGAAGTGTTAGCAGCATAGAATATCAGTGTTGTGCAAGTCTCTATTTTGCCAATCAGATCTGATGTAGTACCTGCCTGGGCGGCATCAGGGTGAGTGAGATGTGATCATTGCAGGACTTGTCTTGGGCAGCTTCTCTGTCTTCCCATGTGCTGCTTTTCCCAACAGTGAGTCCTTTGCCTCCCATTCCACGTCTTCCTCCCACTCCTATCCCCCTGTTATTGATGGGCTCTCTCCATCTATTGTATTACAGTGGTTGAAGGTCACACTTGAAGATGATTTCCCTATAGGTATCTGAGCCAGACCAGCTCTGGCAATTGGTGGTGGCCTAGGAAAATAGAATATTAGCTGAGAGGCAACTAATGAAAAGATCTGACCTTTTTTTAAAAAAAAATGAAGGCATGAAAATAATGCCTAGAATGGGATTATTCTAGGCATTCTAGATCATTGCACTGATCCTTTTTGTGAAAAGTGGACAAAGTCTTGATAAAAGGCAACACCACAACCTTGGTTGAGTTGTTTGACTGAACTGGGACATCATCTCGACAGCTGCACAGCCCTGTTGTGAGCGGGGTAAGAGCAACATAAACGGGCAGTGTATGAAGGAAAACAAACCTAGTCTTGGTTTAGAAGCAGAAAGTCTACGTTTTGGCAGGTGTGTACTTATTTCTGGCAAAGCATATATTACCCTTGACAATTGACCTATTAATTTCCTCTGCAACCATGGTTTCTTTCTTGCAGGAGGAAGGCTAAAGGCCCTGGTCAAGTAATAGCAAAAAGATCAGAAGGGAAAGTACCGATACTATTCTAACCTCCAAGTCTGCCCAACTTCAGTAGTTGACAGAACCAGGTTGAGTCTATTGTAGTATTCGGTAGTTCTTCCACGTGACTATCTAAAATGCTGTCACAAGCTTTAGTTCTTCAGCAGGAATTGCACACTCCTGAATTTCAAAGATGCTTAGAGACAAACGGTTGTACCCAGGCTGAATCTTCTGCGTGTTCTGCGAGGGGAAGCTGGAGTTCTCTTGAAGCTCAGGACAAACATGCAACATAATTTGCAGATGCCTAAATCACAGTCGATCTTTGTTCTGAAAGGAGACTGCTCTGTGCTTTAGGAGCTCATGATAGGAAGGCAGAAGTCATTTAAAACAAAATTGTGTAGAGCTGCCCTTTAATCCTGCAGACAGCTTCTATTAAATCTCTTCTAACAGAGGTAGAATTGATGTTTACATTAAAATATCAAGCCTTGCTGCTTTTTTCTTCTGTATTATGCCATGTTCAGAATCATTTTGACGTGCTTTCAGATCAGTTTCTGTGCAATTTGGTTTTGAAAAGTGAAATCGGAGGCGAGAAGCAGCAGGAAGTAATTTACTTCGCTTCCCCTGCTAGCCCTAGGCCTAGCCCTAGCTACGGACAGGGCATTTTCAAAAGACCCAGGTGTTTCCTCAAGTAGGTAAGCTTGCCATTCTGCCCAAATGAAATCCAAACACGAACTGCTGGTAGAGCTGCTTTTTTGCTGATGTTTTATTTATTCTCTTATTTGGGATGAGCAGAAAACAAGCAGACCTGCTAACTCTTATCTGTGATAAGTGCCTCTAGTTCTCCATGTTTGTTCTTTTTTTGAGGTGCGGGGGAGAGGAAGGAAGAGGTTTCACAGAAGCTGAACTGTAACCCAGCCTGAGACTTAGTATGCCGGCAACACTCAGATTATTACATATTTTATAAAAAATGTAGACTTTTACAAGAATAGAAACTAAATAAATGAGACTAACTCTTCTAAAGGGCAAGTAACTTTATGAAACTTAAGTCAGATTTTTTTTCCTTTTATTTTTTGGCAATGAATAATGCCTTTTTGTTTACTTGCAATAAAACTAGTAATGCATAATACTATTTTTGTTAGATTAAACCAGCTATGAAGAAGGTGTGTTCCATCTGATTAAAATAGGTTTTTATCTCTGACATTGACTCTGTCACATTTCTGATGAAAAAGACCACCTTTCAGTATAAAAAGTACAATTTCCATTGTACCCAACCACACATGGAGAAAAGAGAGATGGAGTAAAATAACCTGCCCTTCAAATTACATGAGCAGTAGCCTACCTGTAGAAATGCATACTCAGATGTCCTCCTGTATCTTATTTTCTGCAAGTATTAAGTAATCTAAGTGACTTCTGATTGTATATTTTTTTTTTCCTGTACAAGTGATCTGTATTAGAATAATTTTAAATTAATGTGAAGTTGCTTTTCATTCTGGCATGGACATCATCCAGGTAATACTTAAATTCTAGTCTCTTAGATCTTAAGTGGACTTTGGACAACAGAGCATTGATGGCGTGGTGATGGAGAGCTATTGATGATGGTTCTTGCTGACTTTGTTCATTTATTGATGTCCTTTATGATGCCAATTCTCTGTCTGGGTCGTTAGGTATATAATAGTTGGGTTTTAGCCAACTCGCTATGCTAGAAGAGTACTCACAATTAGAAGAATGTCACTTGTTTTGAAGCGTAATCAACCTATCAAAACCCAGACAAACCCAGACTTTCCAATATCATGCCTGCATTTGCTTATGTTAAAAGTAGCAGGATCATTTAGCATTTGTGCAGTGTAAATAGGACATTAAAGGGAGTTGTGATTTTTATATTAAATCTCAAGTGGCTTGTGGTCGCTGAGATTTATTTAAAGCTACCAGGTTTTGTATTAGTTATTTAACTAATAACAAGCATTATTTAATGCTGAAGTGCTCTTGTAAGATGTTGAACAACTCTTGATCAGGAGATACTGGATCACCTAATCTGGATAGCATGCTGTATGCTTGTTTGCAGTGCTCTTTAGCCTGTGTCTAGAAAGTCTGCATCTCTTACTGTTGTTTCCAGTCTTGTTAATTTACCCAGGTCCACAGCTACAAGACAATTCAATCTCTACGACTCTTAACTTTTTTTTACTATTTCCTTTTTAATTAATAATCCTTTATTTTATTGCTGTTATACCTTCAACTCAGTATTTTAGATTTGAACATGCTTGCACTGAAACTATACAAAATCCTTAGGATTACTGTTCTTCCAGCTTATACTCTTATTTTGATAATTTCCATGTAGACTGTAGTGTTCCTCTTCTGAAAAATAGTTGCAGCAGTTTGGGGGAGTTCTGTGACATTTCCCTCCTTACTGAGTGGTAGTTTTACACCCAAGATTCTCAAATTTGACTTCACTGGAGAAGGAAATTATTTTAACTTTCAAAACTTAAGAAACTTCTTGTTCTAGCCTACTGGCTGGTGTCTTTGCCTGTCCCTTTTTTTTTAAGTGGAAGTGTTCTGCACATGTGGGAAAAGTACGTTTAAAAGCAAACTTCTTTTATCTTTAGCAGAGTCTGTCAAGGTGGCCTGTTTGCACATCTGCCATGTGATGGTTTTGCAAAAAGAACCACAGTTCTTCTTTTCTAAAAGAAGCCATTCTCTTCTTAAAATTATAATGATAAGCTGCAAAAGTACAGCTGAAAGGGTACTCCTATGATAATTGCTACACATGATGGCCATCACCAGTACTCCAGAAATGCTTCTGTGTGGAGCACTGATAGTTAGCAACATCTGTAGGGATTAAAATAATACCAGTATGATGGAAGAAAATACTCTTTAAAATTCTACTTTAAGCCACTTGTATTTCAGATTTTCTCTGAAGTCTGTATGAAACATGCAAATATAAAAACACAGAAAATAGGTCTTTTTTTCTGAAATGCCTTAGTACAGCCTTGCAAATCAGCTGTGAAAAAACACACTTACTTGTAACTGAACTATTTCCCCTCCTTCCAGTGGGACAGGAGAAGGATTTCTCACTCAAGCTGAGAGAACTGATTTCTTGTAAGATGGTTATGATGTAGATTCATCTACACTGATAGTCTTTGGGTGAAGAGCAGATTTTTTTTTTTCTTTCCCTCTTCTTACAGTATTCTGCACATAACAGATAACTGCTCTGAAATCTTGTTTTTCCAGCATCCTTTGTTCAGCACTGCAGTCATCTCTGACTGCATTAGAAAGAAAAAAAATGTTGCACTACCCAAAAGGGGTGATGAAACAACTGCTTGTTAAATGCCTATAGCGTATGAACCATATTCAAATGGTTTTCAGCCTGTAGGCAGGTATTGATTCAAATGTTAATTCACTGTTCTAGCTGCTCTAATGTTAAAAATAGCTATGCTGGTGAGCCTAATTCTTGGGCATGTATTCATGGCTTTTGGTGTGTAAGGTGATTTTATAAAGAAGACTTTGTTACAGATGCAGTTAGCCTTAGGCTTTATTAGCCAGAGAATACTGCATTGCCAGTTAAATAATTCAGCCAAACTTGCTGTTACATTTTTTTTTCTCCTTATTGAAACAAACTGCCATTTGTGTCACTGTCTCTCCAATTTCAGTTGCAGATCGCCTGGGCTGTGACCCTCGAACACGTTTCCAGGTTCCCCCGAACACCAAGCAATGGATCGCTCTGCTCCAGCGAGGAAACTGTACGTTCAGAGAGAAAATCCTGCGAGCAGCTTCCCACAACGCCACAGCTGTGGTCATTTACAACAATATATCCAGTGAAGAACCAGTCACTATGACTCATCAAGGTAAATAAAACAGTCTTTCACTTTTATTCCTTTTTCCCAATGACTCTTTTGCTGTACAGACTGTATCTAAGGTGCTGTTAGCACTGTGCAAATAGTGCTATTTGAAGCAGCCTGTTCTCTATATGATGCTTGTGTGTACATTGAAGTCAGTCCATAGTTCAGGAAGAAATCTTTTCTTCTAGAGTATTTTTAACCAGTGAGGAACATACTCCTCTGCAGAGAGGTTGCAGATGCATTGAGGTTGGGGATTAAATTTCTGTAAGGTCTTAGGTGTCCTGTGTTTCAAGCCTTGCCAAAGTCAAAAAGTTAACAGTTTGTATCATAATATCTAGCATTTTACACAGCATTTTTACCTGAAGAACTTTTATAGTAGTGTGTTGGTTATAGCAGCATGTTTTATAACTACTTGTGATGGAGTCTCTCAAAGGTTAACAATTGCACCAAATTGGAGCTGATGTGCTTTTCTGTGACATCTTACAGAGGGTTTGGTTTTTTGCAGTGTATCTTTCTGGATGCTGTGGGGTAATCAACAGACCTTGGTGATTCAGAGCATGGTTGCCTCTCTAAATTGTCTAGAATTACACTATTTCTAGTCTGAAATGATGCTGAAAGTTGGATTTCGACAGACCTCTATATTTTTAGGACTATTCACATCTAAAATCTTACCGTTATTAGTGAATGAGTTTAGCTGGTGGGAGTCTCATACTGAAGAATTTTTCCTTTGCTACAAATAACTTCCACATTTTAATAACTGTAAGGCTTTCACTTTCCCAGGTTTTATCATTTTGAATTTATTTAGCTTAATCCCAAAAGGCCTGTTTCTCTATTTGATAGATGAACTAGAGAATCTTCTAAAATATTTTTGATCTTTTTTTCTTTAGGCATAGAGGGGGTTGCTTGGAAACCGCATTTTCCTACTTATTGCTGTGCATATAGTCACATAATTGGAGTTGGATTCTTCTACTATAAAAGCCCAATGTCAGTTGTAGCTCTTATGTTGTGATCTGAGCAAACCTCATGCAAGGGAAATGTCCTGTGGCTTGTTCTAGTTCAGTGGGTTTTGACCTTCCCAGTTTTGCTACCACAGGAATTTTCCAGGGAGATGTGGGCTTCTGTGTAACAATCCGAAGCCTGTTGACATTTATTTTCCTTAGTCACCTTCCTTGGACACTTTTGCATTTAATCTGCAGGCAGAAAGCCCCATGTTCTAGTGAAATGTTCCATAGAATGTTGCTTTTTTGGTCCTTCATCACTTCTCTCTGCTTATATGGCATCCCCCTACACCAAAGTCTTCAACTCTGTCTCCTTGACATACCTGTTAGATTGTAAAGCCTTTTATTGTAAATTCTTTTTTAGCAATATTTTTTGACTCCTCGTATAGTTTGGAACATGTTTTTGTGAGAGAAGGACCACCAGGAAAAACACAGGTCTATTACTGCTTTTTCGAATATGTGCTAAAACATATTACAGATTTAATTGCAAATTAAAAATTCTTTTTCTCTTAATGAAGTTACATTTAGCAGTTGATTTGAGAGCAATTGGATGGTGTCTGTCTTCTACTAAGAAGTGCATTGTGTTCACTGAGTGTTAGAGCTATGAAGAGCAGTGTGGTGCCTCTGCAACCAATAGATATAGATATAGATAGATATAATCAATAGATATAGATAAGTTCAGGTAGCTTGAAATAATCTCTCAAATTCTAAGACCCAAGCTGTGCTGTGGAGAAATTGTATCTTGCAAACTGTAAAAGATGACAGAACACCAGATGCTTGGAAAAAATAATAAATCCATCTTTATATTGATTGCAAAATATTCATTCTTTGAAAAGAGTATATAATTACTGGATATAATGCATGTCTTCCTTGCAAGTCTTTTGAGAAACTATTTTTAACTGTATGCACCCAGTCCCTTGGTATACTAGAATCTGTCACTGATCTGTGCATGTGAAATAGAGGTATCTTACATGTGTTTGTAAATGCCCTCTATCATCCAAGTGAAGGGCGTCGTTCCCAGCATGTAGGATATGCTAGACTATGATATCACTGGCAGGAAGGCAGTTTTATGAGTGGTTTTGCTTGCTACTTCTGTTAAAGCAGAGCAAGTATTGTCTGATGTAGAAAGCCTGTGTGGTGGAGAAAATATTTAGTAGCTGTCTCCTTTATAATCAATTATGGGAATAGGAAGGAAGTGCAGGGAAAATAACATTTTAATTCTTTTTATGTGGTTAAAACAGTCCTATTAAATACATATTACTTATTGAACTGATCTAGTAAAAAAATCTAGGTTTTTATATTATTTATCCATGCTGAAGACACTGAAGTATTTACACATTATATCTTGTTCAGAGAATTTTGCTGAACAGATTAAATCTCTTGGTCTTTGGAACAAGTTGCAGACATTATGTCTTGCTGCATCTTCACTGCACTTCTGAGGAAACAGCGTATTCTCCTTTCAGGAAGTTCCTCTATTCAGTGCTGTGCCCAGGAGGAGACTTTCTGCTGTCCTACCGGAGGAGACGTTTTTTAGGATCTATGTCCTTCCACCCAATAGTGGCCCCAGGGGGAAAAAACTGTTCAAGGCAGAAATTTCTGTTCCTCATACATTCCCTTGCAGAAGAACATGGGCACCAGAAGCAACACTTGGGTTTGTTTTGAACAGGGAGGATAAAATTGTGAGTTTAGTTGTGTGTGGATTATTTTAGGTCACTAGGTCAGAGGCAGGAGGCCCAGAATAAATTGGAGTTGTTGCCATCTAATGGCTATTCCGTGTTCCAAGCTGGTGTAGATGGAATTAGACTCAGTAGCTCTGGAGTGGGTCTGCTGCTGGGCTGGGTTGTGCTGCTCCTGCTGCACGCAGCAAGTAGAATCTTCTGCTACTTCCCTCTTTTCCTCAGCTGTGGCTTTAGGTAACTGTAGGCTAAAATGATGCATAAAAACTAAAGCAGAATGCTCTGTAGATTATTCTGTCCAACTGTGGTTTGGAATATAACTGAAATATTCATCAAATCCATCGTAAAACTGTCCCTGCATTACTGAGACCTACTTTGAATTCACAACCCAGGGAATTCGTGTGTGGCTTGTTCAGCTCCTGAGAATATCAAACACAGTAATTTAGATGGTGTAGTCCTAAAGGTATTATCTAATGTCAGTTGTCACCAAATTCTTCTGCTTTGAAGCAGTTATTCAGTATTAATGTAGCCCGAAGGACTGGCAAAGGTGATGCCCTCTAACCTGGCATGTTGGCGAGAAGAAGAAATGAGTCATTGCACATTAAGCTTTTGGAAAAGGAAGAAACAAATCTTCAGTAGCGTAAACATAGTTAACACATCTTTGATTATGTTACAATGGTAATTATTATATTGTTTATAATTCCTAATTGAAAATGTGTGGAGCAAGTATAAATTTAATTCCGCTTCCCACCGCCTTTCTTGGAGATAAATTCATGAGGAAAATCCATCTTACAGTAGATGGAGTTGTCTGACAGTTAACGAGCCTCCAAGCGGAGTGTCTGGAGCAGAGGCTGCGGGACACAGGGAAGCAGTTGCCTGTTCTGGACTTGCCAAAGCTGACAGAGTTTTCCTGAGCCTGTTCCTGGCGGCAGCTTTGCACGGTGTGGGCTTCATCCCCAGCTGCAGTATCGGCCGTTGGGTTCACTTTTCTGTAGCCAGCTGAGAGGGTAATTAGTTCTGTGACCGTGAAAAAGTCCACGGGATCGTTAGTGATTGTAAGTAATTACACTCCTTTTTTAAAGACGGAGATCCAAGCTTCAGCAGCAGAGTAATTCCCAAATCTATGGATTTTTTGTGGAATCAAATCTGATCCAAATCTATGGATTTGTTATTCCTAAACACCACAGTTGTGGTGTCTTTCAGTAAGATTCTCTTACCACTTCTTTTTTTGGAATTACCTGAATGTGTTTGGAATGACAATCTAGATTGATGGTTCTGACTTGAAGTTGCCTGTAGCTAAAATAAAATATTCAACCACATTAAGCTGCCCTTAGTACAAATCCCTATTTTGGGGCTTCAAGATCTGCTAGCCAGAATGGGAGCTACTATTCAGATAACAGCAAAATGAAAGCCACCTACTAATGCTTATTCATCTTACAATATACAAGACTATCTAGAGTTTGTTATCAAAATCTAAGCAAATATTATTTTTTTAGAAGTACAAATCAGGTCTACATGAGGTTAGTATTTGTGATTAATGAAAAAATCACAGGCACTGTAATGAGCCTTCGGATGTTAAAAGTAGATCTAAGGTATCACTTTCAAGACTTTGTTCCAGAAGAAGTATTTGCAAAGATAAATAGTTTTCAAATAAACTGTAATTAGCCTCTGACAATAAGGCTCCTTCTGTGTTTTATAAATATGTGAAACTGGTTAATGAGGAAACACTGAGAGCTGACTGATTTTAGTTTGCGTTTACCCAGTGACAGTATTACACAATTTCTTGGGTGAAAGATTTTTTTTTTTTGTTAGTATACTCTTATTTCAACAGTAAATGTTAAGTAGTTGTGTAAATGCAGTTTGTCCACTTTGCTTCATAGTTAAATGTCAGTAAAGTGCTGAACAAAAGCCAAAATGTATGCATAAATAATGGAATGATAGCCGGAATTTAAAATGATGAATTCCTTTATGTCATGACTTCTTGATTCTTCTAGGATTATTTAAGTGGAATATTTGTTTCCTTTTCAAAGTTCATGGTGCAGGTAGATTAAAAGAAGCATTGTTACAAGAGAAGAATACAGTGTGAAGTGTCTGTAGAAACATTACATTTTATCTGCTCTTTTTCTAGGCTTGTTTTTTTCTAGATGTTTAAAATAAAATAAAAAAATGGCTAAGTTGTGTGCATTAAAAACATGTTTCCCAGAAACAAAGATGTTCCTCGTCGTAGAGGAGATATCAAAGTGTCTTCAAGCTTTCCTGGAGAGTTTTAGTTCTTTTCACAGTGCTTAATATCCTGTGTCCTGCCATAGAAGACAAGGAGCCCTCTCTTTGA